ATGTAGAAATGAATGAACCGATTCCCCAAATAACATGAAACATGTAGAAATGAATGAACCGATTCCCCAAATAACATGAAACATGTAGAAATGAATGAACCGATTCCCCATATAACATGAAACACAATGTACATTTTAAAGTACACGTAAATGTTCACAGCATATTGCAAAGTCAAAGTAAATCAATAAGGTAACCCAGCAGATTTGTATGCATAGAGCAAACACCCCTAAATGATGAAAGTAGTTATGCATGGTTCCTGCAGCTTTTAACTAACCAAATTTAAGACTTTTGAAGACCTAGTTTCATAGCAAATTGACTAAAAAGTAATTGAAATATTAGTAATAAATAATCATTCAAGTACCCTTTATGAATTACATATTCAACTTTTAATACACTTACAATGAATATTAATGTGTTTCTCCTCTATTATCATGATTTATTTTGTTACTCTTACATACAAATATCTTCTGAGGGTGTGAACATTTTATTTTGGCCTGTGGTCGATTTAGGACTTTTCAAGGTCTCAAAAATGCAAAACCCAATTTAAGACTTTTTAAAGCTTTGTGAGAACCCTGTTATGTCAAACAACATGAGTAGTTAAACAATAATATTACCAGATTTCACAGTTGTAAAAGAACTATTATAAGGTTTTCAGTCCCATATATATTATCCAACTGCCCCAATTGACACCTGTATTTGTGAACACAGTTCCTTAGTGGAGGATTTACTAAATGATCGATTTGGAAAAAAAACATAACACAAAGTAAAAAGAGACAGCAGAAACTCATCACAATGTCACTGAAAAGTCCCAAGTTTTCATATTGAACTTAGATGTCAAGGTTCTTTAATATCTTTAATTGCCATAATGTTGTTTTAATTTTTTAATAAATCATAAAAAATGAAATTACTTTTCTTTAAAAATTTCCTATAAACAGTTTTATGTTAAATTAGCATATTTAAAATATAAATGATTTTTCTGGGGTTTATACTGTTTATTGGAAAAAAAATACTTGGTAATCTATCATGGTTTTTTGACAAATATTAGGTGTACTGGTTAAGAATTTAGTAAACCTCACTATAAAACCCTATAAAAACACTTTTTCTAGAAAAAAAAGACAGCATTTTTTTCTTACCTTGTGATATTGGTTGGTTAGCAAAGGTGAACATTCGCATGGCTATGGCAAACTCATCCAAGTTATTTAGAAACTGACAAAATGCTTTGAACTGTTCAAATGTGATTCCCTGGAAATCAAAATAATTTAATTAAAGTCATCAAGAAGCTTTACATTTGTACTCCCTCTTTGGTCATCACAGAAATATCTCAGCTACTACAATAAACCTGATACTCCTTCTTATTCACAAATTCAAAATACTAAAATAAACTGCAACCTCAAATGCAACTTTGGTATCTGCAATTAAAATGCTAAAAACTAACAAGATTATATTTTTTGATGTCTTTGTAAGCCTACTTTTAACAACTTTTCTCTTTCCAATAAAAACTAACAAGAATTAGATGTATACCAAGCCAAAATAAAGGGTACAATGTGTAAATTCTTAACACACACCATTAATGAAAAACAGTCAGTAAGCTAATCATTATGGTTTATTTCATGTATAAAACTGAACTACAACAAATAGTTAAATTAGTAAATTACTTTAATTCAAAAACTTACTGCACAACACACAATATGATTTCTGATTACTATTTTTTAAAATATGTTAGTTTTTTACTTCTAGTAGGAAACTCAATATAAAAAAAGCAAATAGAATTTAGCAAACTTACTCAGATAAATAATCATGATTTGAAATGTTGGGCTATGCATATAACATAGATGCAAACCTTGTTTTTAACATTATATGTTTCCCATTAAGCTAATCATGTACATGTTTTAGAATCAATCATCATATTGGTGAGTATGTGGTATTACTCATGAGAAATACATTTAATTTTAGAGCTACACCAGATAGGTCCACTAGATAACTCTAATAAATCTCTTACTGACTGAGTTGATGTAAAATAAATAAATAATAAGACTGGACACAAAGTGTAAAACAAAATGAACAATCTTTATTATTATGAAGAAATACACAACATGTGGCTACTTGCTGTTTGCTTACACTGGATGATCACTTCTACTAACTTTTCTTTTCCAACCGTTTAAGCTGAAACCTGTTACCAGACTGTTTAAATGCAACAATACTCAGTTTGCAGGAAACCATGCATTTACCATAAACCACATGCGCTACCCATTTTACTGGTCATTCTCCTTACAAAATGGATGAAGCCGAAACCTTTAGGTATCAGATATCACATGCACAATCATTGAAGAGCACTGCTGTTAAAATTCTTATACAACATGTCGCATTAAGCAACATTTTCCCATGTGGTAACGGGTATTATCTACTTTCGAGATCGACAAAGGTAACGTTAAACAAAATCAACTAAACAGTTTTCTTGATCACATGATGTGAAACGTGCAATAATTCAGAACAAAGAATGAATTCATTATAAATATTATGTTACTAAAAGAAGGCAGAAAAACATGGTATATTCATGTACCAAAGATACATATGTTTCAGTAAACTGTTTACAAACAAGTAAAAAAAATAAAACATGCACTGCCAAGTATCTGAACAAGTAATCCTAGTGGTCACTGTTCTAATAGTATAGAATATTGTTTAGTCTGATAACTGCTCCTATTCTGTAAAGTAAGTCATGTCTCGTGCAAGACACCTCCACTGTTTTTCAAAATCTTGGTCATTTGATGATGTCTTCTGTAAGATTGTTGGCCTAGCATTCTGAACGAGCCCCTCGAAGTGATCCCAAAGATGTTCTATAGGACTAATTATTAAGAGCTTTGATCAAAAGGAAGCTAATAATACAAATCAGAACTAAAAAGTAAATTACAAATTAAAGAAGCCAATTCTACATAACAGACTGGTTAAAAAACTTAATATCATAAACCAATACAAAATAAAACTACAACCTGTAAGATTGGTTTGGTTTGTTGTGAATTTTGTGCAAAGCTAGCCATCCAAAATTTAGTAGTGAAAGACTAGAGGGAAGACAGCTAGTCATCAAAACTAACCACCAATGCTTGGGCTACTCTTTTACAAATGAATAATGAGATTGACTATCACATTATAATGCCCCACAGCTGAAAAGGTGAATAAATTTGGTAAGAAGAGGATTCAATCCCACGAGCCTCAGATTGCGAGTCAAGCACCCTAACCACTTGGCCATGCAACCTGTAAAAATTGAAACGTACTGAGTTGAGGAAAAATAAGACAACAGTACGTTTCACAAATATATCATTTATTCACAACCATAGTTTCGCCAGTAAAGGCATCATCAGGTACAAGCCTGAAGTTTTTTTATAATAGTGTTCATATATATGTTTAAACAAAGAACCAGAAGTGACCTTGACATTCACCTAGAGACTAGTGGGGAGAAGCTTAAGTTGGTTTGGTGGGGATGCTATTTATATTGTCAAATTGCATGAGCAACAACTGTAATGATGTGAACTAAGTTAAGCTGGTGGAGTGTAATTATTATGTTCTGTGAGTCATTTACAAATCAGAATTAGGGAGAGGATAAATAACAATATTATCTATTTATTTTGAAATGAATTCTTTATTATTATTATTCATTTTTACTCGAATAAACTTTACTCTTCATTCAGAAGAATTGGAGAATCAGCAGACTAGTCATTTCTTTCCCAGAATGAGTCAAACAAACAATAGTTAAACAAACCATACGAGATTCAATGTGAATATAAGGTTAAACAAACTATAAGAGAGTCAACATGAAGTTAAAGTTAAACAAACTATACAAGATTCAATGTGAATATAAGGTTAAACAAACTATAAGAGAGTCAACATGAAGTTAAAGTTAAACAAACTATACAAGATTCAATGTGAATATAAGGTTAAACAAACTATAAGAGAGTCAACATGAAGATAAAGTTAAACATACTGTAAGAGAAAAGTTGGCATCTTCTTTGTGAAGTTCTTGAGGAAGAAGGAACAACTACGACAAGATATAATAATGCTCCAAGTTATAAGAGATATAGACATTTACTAAATATAAGTTACTAAAATAAACTATACAGATGTGCACTCTCAAAATTTTCAATTCATTCGCATTAGTTATACAGGTACATTTAGTTACTTGTTATGGGTTTATATCTTAGTAGTTCATTCACTGGTTTTTGCACAATACCCCAACCCTTTAATTTCAACATTCTGATTACAAAATGTTTATGGTTATATAAAAAAAATATATTTAGCATTCATTATATTATTTGTAATTTTTGAACTTTCCGTAGGAATTTGCTAAAGATGGAATGTCTGTATTCCAAAACCTTCAATACATGTGTTGTTATTCATCATTTCTATGGTGAGATTGTTTATCATTACTGCATTTCTGCCTAATGAATTTAAAACATTAGACACATGATTTCCAGATATTGTATATACTACTCTCTCATTGTTTGTACTTAAATTTAATAAACAAATTTTAAAATTTTCCCAGAATTTTAGTTCAAAAGCTGATATATACTGTCTCAGCCAAGTGGAAATTAGTCATAGGTATTACTCTTTATTGGAAAATTCAGTTTAGAGAGTACACATGATATTAGTTGTACTTCTGGCAGGAAACTGGAGTCAATGCCTTTGATGATGTCAACCCTAGTTATTGGAGTGATGGACAGTTAACCTTGCTACAGGAAGTAGGGAAATGAAACAGACTGTGCTTCATTCATTCAGACATAACTTGATGCCATGGAACATTTACAAGCCAACCAACTCTGAAGCTGAGAAATCACAATATCAAATTTTTATCAGCACTTCAACACAGTATAAAATAGTCATCTATCAGGCAGCAATTCAGGTTTGCAAGTGTATTACCTATTCAAATTTGGCTGTATATGCCAAAGAACTGTGACATTTAAATGGTAAAGCACAACCAAATATGGCAGTAGCTGATAGAAAAGATATTCCTATCAACAAGTTAGTGGAGGGACTTCATAGTGAGTCCATGAAGCACAAATTGAGTATTAGAAATATCATGTCTCTAAATGAAGCTATGTCTGTATTGAAAGGAATGAGATGGTATCCTCAGCTAAGTTGGCAGATTCAAGAAAGTGAAAGGATGGCTTAAGATAAACTACTAATTCTGTAGACGAAAGATCAAAAAAGCATTATAAACAAACAGACAGCAAAAAAATTTGCAGAGTAAGGGAAAAGAGGTAACAAAGGGTTCAACTGACACTGATTACATTACCCAAGATCAAATCTCACTTTGAATGGTAAACAGTCAGGAAACCCTGCTTCTTGATGAACGTACCAGAGAGAAACCACGCATGAAGATTGAAACCAGGATATGTGTGTGTATGATAAATGAAGGTTATCCTCTGATGGAGAAGATTTGTACAAAGTGGATGGGGGAACTAAAAGTTGTAATTATAAAAGTGATAGCAGATGAGATATTTGTGGGGAGGGATATGCATAAATAATATTATTTGTGGGAAGGGATATGCATAAATAATTTTATTTGTGGGAAGGGATATGCATAAATAATTTTATTTGTGGGGAGGGATATGCATAAATAATATTATTTGTGGGAATGGGATATGCATAAATAACATTATTTATGGGGAGGGATATGCAAAAATAATATTATTTGTGCATTTGAACAAAAACTAAATTCTAGAGCTTTTCAGAATCTTTCTAGGATGAAATTTTCTACTTTCAAACGATACTTTCACCTTTCTGACTAACTTAAAACAAGTACAAATATTCACTGAAATTCACCAATTTTGCTTAACTATACACCTGGAAAAAAGTTAAGCACCCCCAAATATTTTTCTGGATTGCTTATTGAAAATAAGGTTTAATTTTCATGATGTTGAGCAATGTTCATAATTTCAAACACAATTAAAAGGATGTGAGCGTTCAGGTGTGACATTTAAATCCGGCGCGTTTTTTTCCCCACGTGCAACTTGCTCCCTTCTTCACGTCCAATGTGCACTATTTTCTCATGCATCAAATCCGTATTTAAGTCCCGAATTTCTGAATGCAAAAT